AAATGGATGAGTCAGATTATTTCAGTATAAATCTGCTGCACAGAGTCTGATATAATCAACATTATGAGACAACAATGGGAGAAAGTATTTGCAAATTATGTGTATGATAAGAGAATAATGTAAAAATTATGCAAGAAACTCAAATGACTACACAACAAAAAACAACTATGAGCAGCACGCTGAATTTTTTTGTTTGTTTTGTTTTCTTTTTTGAGATGGAATCTGTTGAACAGGCTTGAGTGCAGTGGCACAATATCAGCTCACTGCAAGCTCTACCTCCCAGGTTGAAGCGCAATACTCCTGCTTCAGCTCCTCTAGTAGCTACAATTTTAGGCATGTACCACCATGACTAATTTTTCTAATTTTAGTAGACATGGAGTTTTGTTGTGTTGGCCAGGCTGGTCTTGAACTCCTCACCTCAGGTAATCCACCCACCTAAGCCTCCCAAAGCGCTGGGATTACAGGCATTAGCCACCATGCCCAGCCCAAGCTTAAATATTTTTCAAGAAAAGACATGGCCAAGAGATAAACTGAAAAATGCTCAATGTCAATTATTGTCAGAGTAAGACAAGCAAAAAATACCTATGAGATATTTATAAAATTTACCTATGAGAAAAACAAAAATACTACAACAAAAAGAAATACCTGTGAGATATTTAAGTAAAATAAAAAGAAAACATTGGTAAAGATGTAAAGGAAACACTTGCACACTGTTGGTTTGAATGTAAATGAGGACAGACATTAAAAAAACAAAATAGATTTTTGAAAAAAATTTAACTACCATATAATCCAGCAATTGCACTTTCAGATATTCAAAATGAGAATGAAGAAATACTTGCACTTCTATGTTGTTCGCACACCCTTCACAATAACCCAAATATGGCACCAACAGTTCAACATCTAATACACATGCATATGGTATATGTATGAAACATAATTTTTTATTTTTTTAAATTGTTTTCAATCACATGGATTAACCTGAAAGATATTATTTGTTGAAATAAGCCAGTCACAGAAAGACTAGTATCTCATTCCACTTACAAATGGATACTTAAAAAAGTTAATCTCACTGAAGTATAGAGTAACATGGTGACCCCCAGGTGCCAAGGAAATTGAAAAAAAGAGGCAATTGGAAAAATGTCAACAAATACATAATTAGTTGTATAGGAAGAACAATTTCAAGAGATATATTATTGTTCAGCATGATGACTCTAGTTCATAAAAAATGTATATGTATGAAATATGCTAAGACAAGGTCATGTGGTCTCATCAAAAAAGTTAACTCTGTTAGTTAACACATTTATTACACAGGGCTAAGTATTGGACAATGTATGTAGACTTCAAAATACTATGTTTTAAAAAGTAAATACCCATTTCATCTGTCAAGTTAAAAAATATGTTTAAAACTTTATAGAAAGTAAATATTTCAAATATGATCTGTATTTGTCATAAACTTGACTGGATACTATTAATCACACATAGCTTTGTGCAGTTTTGTCATTTGTAAATTACAACCGTAGAAACTTTGATACTTGAACATCATGCCATGGACCCTGCACAGTGCCTGAAAGAAGCCAATTTACTTTAGGGCTTTTAAGTTTGGGGCACCCGCAGTTTCTAGTGCTAATGCTAATGATATGGAAGACAATAAAAGGGCAGGCGGTCCCATGACTGCTGATGGTCTGATGACTGGCCACTTTGTGAACACAGTAAACAAATTTGCATGCAAAATAACATAAAATATTTTAATTCAAAAACTGGCATAATCTTCACATATTCTCCAAAGAAAATAATCAAGGATTGGCTACAGATAGGTGACTAAGTATAAAAACTGTATGCTGAACTTCACTGACAAAAAATTATATAAAATAAGTGAGAAAATTCTTGAAATTATATCAATATAAAAAATATTCAAATTTAAAATTTACAGAGATAATTTTATTATTTGGCAACCTCTAACATTCACACTTAGAAATTCTGCATGGAAACATAAGTTGTGCTGTAAGTATATCATGAAACACGAAAAATTTATTACTTACCACCAACTGACAGAAGTTTAATTACCAAGATACATTTTATATTTGACACATTTTATGTAAGAATCTTTTAAAATTTTTCTTTTAAAAATAAAGCTAAATAATTTAATTCTCCCACCCCCTGAGAATACTCTATGACTTTTATCTTTATCTGATGTCAAAGTTATACTGCTAAGCAAACGCTCCAGTTAAAATCGACTTATACTGCATTAAAAGTTTCAGGTCAGGCACAGTGGCTCATGCCTATAATCTCAGAACTTTGGGAGACCGAGGTGGGCGGATCGCCTGAGTTCGGGAGTTTGAGACCAACCTGACCAATATGGAGAAACCCCATCTCTACTAAAAATGCAAAATTAGCTGGGTGTGGTGGTAGATGCTTATAATCTGAGTGTCTTGAGAGGCTGAGGTAGGAAAAGAACCTAGGAGGAGGAGGTTGTGATGAGCTGAGATTACACCCTTGCACTCTAGCCTAGGCAACAAGAGCAATACTTTGTCTCAAGAAAACAAAAACAAAACTATTTTCTCATCAAAATCTACAAAGTACTATGTGAAATGACATAGAATAAAATCAAAATTGAGAAAACTGTAGCCATAACACAGAAAAAGAAGGTCTGTAATGCATATGTAAAACTAAATAGAATCAGAAAAAAAAGAAAAAGACTTTCTCTTTAAATTCAGCAAGAATCAACTTTGCAGCCTGGAAATACTGTTCTCTCCACATGAAGAATGAATATTATTTCTTCACTATTGACAATTTCCATATATGATTTGACTTGCAACCTAACTCCAGGAAAAATATTTATGGCTTACTATGGAGCATCTGTTACATGAGAAGCACTATCACGTTTGCTTGCTACATTTATACATCAAAACATTCTTGCCAGGTATGGTGACTCACGCCTGTAATCCCAGCACTTTTAGAGGCTGAGGGTCGGATCAATGATGTAAGGAGTTCAAGACCTGCGTGGCCAACATGGCAAAATCTTGTCTCCACTAAAAATACAAAAATTAGGTGGGCATTGTGGCAGGCACTTGTAATCTCAGCGGCTTGAGAGGCTGAGACAGGGAGAATTGCTTGAACTCAAGAGATGGACGTTACAGTGAGCTGAAATTGAACCATTGACCTTCCGCCTGGGTGACAGATAAGATTCCAGCTTAAAAACAAACAAACAGCAACAACAACAAAAACAGAAGAGAACACAACCAAAAAAATTAAAAAATATCTAAAATCATCATGACTCATGAAGCCTCCCAAGTAATTCCCTGAATCTAATGGCTTAACAGATAAATTTACAAAAATCAATTATAAAAAGATAAAGGAACAATAACTAAGGAATAGTAGGCGTATAGAGGTTTCGCCAATTAAACACAATGAAACGCCCTAAAAAATATATAAATACACAAATTATGAAATTACATCTAAAAATCATTTTGTGTGCCCTACATTTTATGATACTTACTAATCAATCGCCTTACAATGAATACTCCTTACACTGTAAAGCAAAAACTAATTATAAAAAACAGGAAAAGTATGGGGTCTGTAAAATAATAAATAAAAGGTAAAGACACAGATTTGCATTTAGCATTATTGAAGTTTGAAGCTTTCTAGCAAACTAGTCACCTTATGAAAATGTTTTGTTTCAATATTGTATTTTCTGAAAATAGGTAAAACTCATGCACACACAAACACATATTCTACAGTTCTATTACAGTTACAAAATATCATTAGACTAACGTGCATATTTAACTGTATGTGAATCAAAACTAAAAGCTTGTATGTGTAGGTAGTTCACATGTTCAAAGAAAAATATATTAAAAAATTTTAAAAACACTTCTTTGGGACATAGAAACGTATTTTATTTACATTTTTACATAGTTTTTATTATGACCATAAAAATAAAAGATACAGCATGAAGTAAACTGTGAGTTGAATTATATCATTATTTACTTTCCAAAAATTAATCTGTAAGGCTTTTATTGAATGTTATAATTGAATGCAATTATAACACTCCAATTTTCTTTTGTTAAAGTTACAGAACAATAATTTATTTAACAACTTTAATTTTGGATGATGTTCTATATGCAACACTCCGATTTAGTGTAATGCCTGGAGGGTCAGCCTTAGTTATTTGTACTGTGAATTACTGATGTTGACATAGACTTAATTTTGAAGTAAATGTTGTTTTCATAGTTACTGCATCTGTAAACATATATTTTACTATGAACTCTCTGATGTTTTCTTAGCTGTCATTTTTGAATAATTCTTTAAACTCATTACATGTATTGGGGTTTTTTCCAATATAATATAAATTCCCTGATGTTGAACAAGTTTTGAGAAATTCCTTCAGGTTCTTTTCTCTAATACAAACTCTGCACAATAACATCTATGAAATAAGTAATGGTACTACAAGCCTCTTTATATTTTTAATGTTCCTCTTAAAAATGAATGCTCTTCTTCACTTTAATGACTTATATTTTCTGAAAGCTATTTTGACAATAATTGCACTTACAATGTTTTTATTAAGCATAAACTCTTGGATGTTGAGTAAGATATGAGCCGGTATCAACAGCTTTTCCACTTGTTATATTTGTAGAATTTTCCTCGAGTATAAATGCTTTCTTGTGCAACAAAATGTGAGTACTAGCTGAAAATTTTGTTGCATTTTTCAAACAAGTAGTTTTTTAGTGTCAATTATCTTACTAGCAATCAAGAGTGACAACTACTTAAAGGTTTTGACACATTCTTAACATTTCTGCGGTCTAGGATCACTGTATTTATTTTAATTTTTAAGTTTGAAGTGTTGTGAAAAGACTGTCTCATCTTTCAGGTTTGTAGAGTTTCTCTTCAAAATAAATTATGTCTCCTGAGAATTGAGAAGTTGTAAAAGGCTTTGATACATTCTTTATGCTAGTATGATTTCTCTCCAGTATGAATTGTGTGTAATAAATGTTGAGAACTTGTTAAAGTCTTTGTCACATTTTTCACATTTGTTGGAATTCTCTCCAGTATGAAACACCTTATGTTTAGAAATGGTTAACAATATACTAAGGGCTTTGTCACATTCTTAAGGTTAGTAGCTTCCATCCATTGTATATTATTTTATGTTCTGTAGGGTTTAAGAACTAGTTAAAAAGTCTGCCACATTCTTCACAAGCGTCAGAATTCTCTCCAGTATGAAGTTGCTTATGTTTAGTAAGGGATGAGAACTGGTAAAAAGCTTTTCCATGTGCTTCAGTATGAAATATTTTGTTTACTTAGTGCTGATTCACAAAAGTCTTTGCCACATTCTTCACATTTGTACAGGGTTTCTCATCAGCATGAATTCTGTTTACTAAATGTTAAGAATACACCAAAGCCTGTGCCACACCGTTCACATTTGCAGGATTTCTCTCCATTATGAATTGTTTTGTTAAGATTCGAGAAATGGTTAAAAGCTTTTCCATATTCCTCATATTAAGCTTCTCTGAAGTATAAATTCTCTTGGCTTGATGGCTGGTTAAAAACTTTGCCACATTCTTCGTATTTGAAGGCTTTCCCTCCACTATGAATTCTCCTAAGTGTAGTAAGGTGTGAGGACCAGTTAAAAGCTTTGCCACATTCTTAACATTTGTAGGGTTTCTCTCCACTATGTATTCTCTCATGTGTAGTAAGGATTGATAACCGGTTAAAAGCTTTGTAACACTCTTTACATTTGTAGGGTTTCTTTCCAGTATGAATTATCTTATGTCTAGTAAGGTGTGAGGACCAGTTAAAAGCTTTGCCACATTCTTTACATTTGTAGGGTTTCTCTCCACTATGTATTCTCTCATGAGCAGTAAGGATTGATAACCGGTTAAAAGCTTTGCCACATTCTTTACATTTGTAGGGTTTCTCTCCTGTATGAATTATCTTATGTCTAGTGAGGTCTGAAGAACAGTTAAAAGCTTTGGCACATTCTATACATTTGTAGGGTTTCTCCCCACTATGAATTCTCTCATGTGTAGTAAGGATTGATAACCGGTTAAAAGCTTTGGCACATTGTTTACATTTGTAGGGTTTCTCTCCAGTATGAATTATCTTATGTTTATTAAGGTCTGAGGAGCAGTTAAAAGCTCTGCCACATTCTTTACATTTGTAGGGTTTCTCTCCAGTATGAATTATCTTATGTTTACTAAGGTATGAAGAACAGTTAAAAGCTTTGCCACATTCTTTACATTTGTAGGGTTTCTCTCCAGTATGAATTTTCTCATGTGTAGTGAGGATTGATAACCACTTAAAATCTTTGCCACATTCTTTACATTTGTAGGGTTTCTTTNTGTGAGGAACACTTAAAAGCTTTGCCACATTCTTTACATTTGTAGGGTTTCTCTCCACTATGAATGCTCCTATGTGTAGTAAGGATTGATAACCACTTAAAAGCTTTGCCACATTCATCACATTTATAGGACTTCACTCCACTATGAATTCTCTTATGTTTAGTAAGGTGTGAAGAACAGTTAAAAGCTTTGCCACATTCTTCACATTTGTAGGGTTTCTCTCCACTATGTATTCTCTCATGTGTAGTAAGGATTGATAACCGGTTAAAAGCTTTGCAACACTCTTTACATTTGTAGGGTTTGTTTCCTGTATGAATTAACTTATGTTTAGTAAGGTCTGAGGAACAGTTAAAAGCTTTGGCACATTCTTTACATTTGTAGGGTTTCTCTCCGCTATGAATTTTCTCATGTGTAGTAAGGATTGTTAACCGGTTAAAAGCTTTGCCACATTCTTCACATTTGTAGGGTTTCTTTCCACTGTGAATTCTCTCATGTGTAGTAAGAATTGATAACCGGTTAAAAGTTTTGTCACATACTTTACATTTGTAGGGTTTGTTTCCTGTATGAATTAACTTATGTTTAGTAAGGTCTGAGGAACACTTAAAAGCTTTGGCATATTCTTTACATTTGTAGGGTTTCTCTCCAGTATGAATTTTCTCATGTGTATTAAGGATTGATAACCGCTTAAAAGCTTTGCCACATTCTTTACATTTGTAGGGTTTCTCTCCATTATGATTTCTCCTATGTTTAGTAAGGTATGACGAACAGTCAAAAGCTCTGCCACATTCTTTACATTTTTCGGGTTTCCTTCCAGTATGAATTATCTTATGTTTAGTAAGATCTGAGGAACAGTTAAAAGCTTTGCCACATTCTTTACACTTATAGGGTTTCTCTCTACTATGAATTTTCTCATGTGCAGTAAGGATTGATAACCGGTTAAAAGCTTTGCCACATTCTTTACATTTATAAGTCTTCTTTTTAGCAAGTCTTATCTTATATCTATTTGAATATGAAAATGTATAAAAGACCTTTACATATTTATAACATAAATATGTCTTGCTCTGTGTAGCCATCAAACATTTCTTAAGTTTACCATAAACTCTTTTGTGCATTTTACAACCATCCACACTTTCACAGACTTTTCTTAGTGGTACATGTTTATCTCCACAGTTTCCATAACTTCTCAGTATCACTTTTGGAAATAATTTTTTTGTGTCCTGCTCTGGCAATAGGTCTTGAGCAAAATAAGAACACATAACTGAAAAAAAATAAAAATAACAAATTACTCCACTTGCTAGACTAAGATTTGTTTACTCTATATATCTAACCTATGAAATTATACAAACTGCATAAGCAAGATGGCATAGAAAAGTACCACAGGCCCAACTTTCTTCATAGACATATAAATCCAACAAAAAGATACTGACCAAAACACATTTGTGGAAGATTTGTAAATAAGTTACTTGTGTTCAGTACCCCAGGTGAGCACAATGCAAACAATCACATAGAACAAAATGTCTGTTACATTTACCCTACACAGACCCAACAGAGCTCTTCCTGCTCCCCAAACATGATGTAGTATCTTTAGAAGTAACCTGTCAACTTGTTTTTTTTATAACAAAAATAAACAAACAAATAAATAAATAAATAACATAAACCCCAGAAAAATAATGTTTCTATTTCTGGCTTCTAAGAGTCTTTTCAAGCACTGGTTTCTGTCTTCCACGGCATTAAATACTAAAAAAAATAGTGGTGGCTAATATGGTTTGATTCTGTGTTTCCACGTAAACCTCATTTTGTATTGTAGCTCTCATAATTCTCATGAGTTGTGGAAGAAACCTGGTAGAAGCTAATTGAATTCTGAGGCTATATATTTTCTAGGTTTTTCTTGTGATAGTTAACAAGTCTAACAAAATCAGATAGTTTTTATAAAGCAGAGTTCCTTTTCCCATGCTCCCTCTCTGACTGCCACCATGTAAGATGCCACTTTGCTTTTCTTTTGTTTTCTGCCGTGATTATAAGCCCTCCACAGCCATGTGAAACAGTGAGTCTATGGAACTTTTTCTTTATAAATTATCCAGTCTTAGATATATCTTTATTAGCAATATGAAAGCAGACTACTACAGTAGTATTCTTTGGAATGACAGTTTGAGTCACTAAAACCAAAGGTAAATGCCACAGCAGTAGAGAGATTGCAGTACTACACAGAGAAAACACATGTAGCAAATGAGGACTGGCCATTAAATAGAAACACTAAGAAATTTATTTAACTAAAAATAAACAAAAAAATTTCAGAGAAGATACATCGTAAGAACATGTCTGAGAGACTCCCAGAATCTCTAGCTAAAACAATTAGTTTTAATGTATGTCAGAAAAAAAGCTACATTATAAAGACTGTGACAGGTAGATTTTTTTTAAATGTCCAAATCTCAATCAAAAATTACAATGCATAGAAAATGTTGCAGCAAAATAACCTCATATAAAAATTATAAACTGTTCAGAAAGCAACTATAGAAAATGAAGATGTATAAATTTTTAAAAATTTAAATAAATACTCAGTGAATGAAAGAGAAACACAGACAACTATAAAGAAATTATAAAACTAGAATAAGCACAAAAATATTAAAAATATCAAAAAATTATAAAGGCAAAAGATATAAAAAGTAAAAAAATTCTAGAGGAGCAAATGATGAAAAAAGATAGCAGCTCAACAAATAAACTAGGATACGCACAAATATAAACACAATTTTAAAAGTCACAGATGAAAAGAAAATCTTGGGCACTGCAAAAGAAAAGTGATGTGTCATTTACAAGCATAGTCTTCTTATANCTCTTTTTCACCTCATTGGAATAAGAGACACCTCTAGCACAAAATTCTAAAGGTTTTTGACGTTTTATGCCAGGAACCTGGGACAAAACCAGATATTTATAACAAACACACATATAAACACAATTTTAAAAGTCACAGATGAAAAGAAAATCTTGGGTGCCCCAAGAGAAAAGTGATGTGTCATTTACAAGCATAGTCCTTTAAGATAATCAGTGAATTTGCCAATAAAAAATGTGCAGGCCAGAAGAAAACTGCTATAGTCAAAGTCCTGAAAAAAAAAAAATTGTTAAATGAGAATAATATAAACAGCAAAACTGTTCTACCAAATACCAAAAAAACTAAAAAGAAACCTTCCAAAATAACTAACTTCTGAGAAAGTATATTGGCACTGCATGTTTGCTACATATCAAAAATGATAAAATGAGTTGTTTTCACTGAAAATAACATGATTCAAGAAAACAGCACCTAATTACTGGAAAATACATTGTTCTCAGAAAGATATACACATACAAAGAAATTGAATTCTTTAGCATTATCATAATCATGAAAAAAATTTTTAAATTATTCTTTAAAATTTATAAAAGTCTAGAAATATTTATAAACATGTTAATAAATGTAAAACAGAAATATAATTAGTAACATAAATGACAAATGAGAGTAAATGTAATAGAGAATACTTGCTTGCAACTGAAGCTATTTTTTAGAATTTTAAAATATATTGCTGTATCTTTTTTTTTTACAAAGGTAATCAAATGTCAACTTTATTTACTGAAAACTCTAAAAAAGCATAATAAGTTTGCTCTTATTGTAACCTAAAATTCTGAAAGCCAGAAAATCTAATTATCATGCTCTAGCTAAAGTAGCTAATGCTTTCTTTATCCACAAGTAACTTTCACTTCACGGAATTTGGGCTTCTAAAACACATAGGAATACTTGTATCTGTAGGATTCTGTTGGGAATACTTATATCTGTTGGGTCAAATTAAACAGTAGAGCTGAAGTTATTCAAATACATTCAAACTACACAGATCCCTTATAAATTAGCAACATAGTAGGAAGAAAAAGATACAAGAAAAATACATCCTAGAACTCATTAACAAAATTATTGGTGTATTGTCTATACTAGCAGAGAGTAGGTTTCTTGGTCTGCTATATAAAATTAACAGCAAGAAAAAAAAGTGCAAGAATAAGGTTTATGGCTGAAGTGGCTTGGTGTCATAGTTCCTTATTCCAGCATTCTCAGAAGGATCTCATCCTCTAGACATGCAGAAACTGCAGGGACAGTATAACATTCCTCTTCTTGATGCATTCTTAACTTTCCTAAGCCCAATTTTCGTTAGTGTCCTTTCATACTTCCTAGGACCTCTGCCTAATAACATGTATCTGAATCTTGCCATCCTTTCTCTCTGCACAAACAGCAATGAATACTGAAAACTAAAAATTTACACTGATAAAATAAAGTTGGATAATTCTCTTGAGTTGTATACAAAAAAACAGTTTAAATAAAATAGACAAAATAAAATAACAAATCTCTTAGAAACAAAATAAGGGAAAGACATGACATTGGTCTTGGCAACATTTTCTTAGATATAACAGTAAATGCAGGAGCAACAAAGGAAAGAAGAGAAACATTTAACTACATTGTAATTCAGTATTTCTGTACATCAAAGAAAACATTCAATAGAGTGACAATGTCTTTTAGAAAATGAGTGAAAATATCTACAAATCACATGTGATCCGAGTTAATATTCATAATATAGAAACAACTCTTAAAATTTAAAAAGAGTTGACTAATTTGATTTAGAAATGGACAATTAAATGAAATATTAGAAAGAAGTATTTGAAAGAATATAAAAAATTACTAACTGGTAGAGAAATGCACAATTATAATGAAAACGAAAATCACCTCACACCAATTAGAATGGCCATAATAAATTTTTTAAAAGCAGCAAATTCATTGATGATGCAATATAAATAAAACACATGCTGACTGTTGGAAGACAAAAATACAGTCATCATTTAAAAATGTTATGAATGTTTCTCAAACAATTAAACATAAAAATATCATCAAATACAGCAATGTCAATTATGAATCTATATCCAAAGTATGCAACTCGGGACCTGGAAGATATATTTAACCACCTATGTTTATTGTGCCACTATTCACAAAAGCCAAAAGGCAGAAGCAACTCAGTTATTTTTTGATTTATATACACACCAAAAAATGTAACATATATGTATGGTGGAATAGTATTTAGCCTTAAAACAAATCTTGTCACATTTAAAAATCTTAGATATTAAGATAAATCTTGATAATATTACCTAAACTAAGTCGGTAACAAAACATTGAATACTAGATGATATCATTTACATGAGATATGTCAAGCAGTCACATTTATAAAAACAGAAAGGGGAAGAAGGTTTCTCAAGGGCTGAAAGGGAGGGTAAAAATGGGCAGTTGTTTCAGTTGTTACACGTTTTGAGTTTCAGTTTTACAAATGTAAAATTTCTGGAAGTGTTTTGAATAACGATGTGAATATACTTCACATGCCTAAAGTATGCAGTGTTTTTGTTGTTGTTGTTGTTTTGTTTTGTTTTTAAAGGAAAGAGTAAGGCCAAGCGCAGTGGCTCACACCTGTAATCCCAGCACTTTGGGAGGTCGAGGTGGGTGGATTGCCTGAGGTTGGGAGTTCAAGACCTGCCTGACCAACAAGGAGAAACCCGGTCTCTACTAAAAATACAAAATTAGCTGGGTGTGGTGGTGCAAACCTGTAATCCCAGCTACTCAGAAGGCTGAGGCAGGGGAATTGCTTGAATCCAGGAGGTGGAGGTTGCAGTGAGCCAAGATCACACCATTGCACTCCAGCCTGGGCAACAAGAAAGAAATTCCATCTCAAAAAAAAAAAAAAAAGAAAAGAAAAAAAAAAGGTAGAATATTACTCTCATCCAAGATTCCAAGATGAAGTGTTAATGGCACAATTATGTATCACTGTAGCCTGAATGAAACTCCCAGGCTCAAGTAATTCTGTCCCATCAATCTCCCAAGTTTCTGAGACCACAATCCCAGCCACACGTGGCTATTTTTAAAAATATTTTGTAGAGAGTAGTTCTTTATATGTCTACCAGGCTGGTCTGAATTTTTTTGGGCTCAAGCACTTAGATAAAATATTTTGAAAATAATAGAGCTATGATGCCTTTTAGCTCATGGCTATCACTCTAGTGGGATGCTTAGCCCAGCAAAGTGTGGTCTTATAAATCTCATAGTAGGTCATTGCCTCTGGAAGGAAAACAAAAAGTGACACCAGTTCCTACCTAAAGTTAGAGACATCTGACACTCTGTAATTGAATCCCAAAAGGGGAAACCCCTGGCAGAGATTCTGAGGTCTGGTACTAAATCTTACTCAGAATTTTCTCTCAGGCTGGGCACGG